CAACTATATAAAATTTCAAAACTATTATGTAGTTATTTTCAAGTCTTATGTGATTATTTTTGGTAGTGTTTCATTGCTTGTTCATTTTTGGTGTTTCCATCTTTTATTTTTTCAAATATTTTATATGATACTCTTAAATTTTATGTAACTGTTTTTATTGAAGAAGAATATATAAATACAGCTACTTTACAGTATGTTGCTGATAACTATGTGGTCCTCAGGAGGATGGTCTGTATCTGATGATCGTTCCTGCTGCAGCTTATCCAGGGTGGCTCATTTCCTTAATGTATTTGCATTTTTGTTTTGTGAGTTTGGTCGAACTTAGTATGTGTAAACCAGGACCTGAGTCCAGGCTTCCTCCTTCAGGAAGGATTTGCATTATTTCTGCGGGGCCAGGGTGTGGGTTTCTCAGGTTGGGGTCTCCCTGGCTGCAGGTAGCAGGGGCTTCAGTGCTGGCAGCTGTACATTCTCAAGAAAGATTGATTATGTCCCCCTGCCAATTTGTGTTTCCCAGAGCAGAATGCCATTCATTCCCTCACCTCCCATCCCAGAACGTTTTTTAGTCTTTTGAGGATTCCCCTTTCCTGTGAACTCAGCTGTGTATGCAAACTGTGTTTGGTGGAGTTCCTTTGCTGGTGTACATGTCACTACATCACGCAGATGGAGGAGAATTGTCTCTAGGGGCTTGCTCTTGAGCGCCAGAAAAGATGTTTCACCTCCCTGGGCCGCCCCCACCACCATGTTCTGTACACCACGTGTTCCACATGCAGTCCGTATCTTGGAATAGTATGTGAGGCGCAGCCCACGATTACAAACATGGTTGTTGGTTGTTGACTGGAGGAAATGTCAATGCTCGGTTCTCACATGATTTTTCATTAATGTGAAATTTTATTGAACTGCAGTGTTCTTCTGACCAAACCAAGAGCTCTCATATTACAGTCTTACATTAACCTCTCTACCTGAGAAGAGACTGAATGATTTATTTTCTCTGCAGCGGTGATTCAGACTGAGTTTTTATATATATTTCAGCCCTTTTGCAGTAAATGTAGTTATAGGTTCTTTTGTACCGGGAACTGGAATTTGACTTTTTAAAAATGAAAGTTGGGGCTGGCCTGTGGCTCACTTGGGAGAGTGTGGTGCTGATAAGACCAAGGCTGCGGATTCGGATCCCTATATAGGGATGGACGGTTCGCTCACTTGGGAGAGCATGGTGCTGACAACACCAAGTCAAGGGTTAAGATCCCTTTACCGGTTGTCTTAAAAAAAAAAAAAATGAAAGTCAGGTCTTTTTAAAAGAAAATCTAAAGCTGATAGGACAGTAGGCTGAGCTCTTTTTTTCTAATTAAAATAGGCTTCCCTTGACATAGGAGGACTACTCTGAGTCTCCACCAGCAGATGTGGGAGGGTTGGCTCTAGGGATTGGATCCATGTTCTAGGCCCAGAACTAGGCTCTAGGAGAGTTGGGCAGGCCACGTAACTTCTCTGCACCTTGGCTTCTTCCTGGTAAAGCAAGAGTGCCCTCCAGTGCTCATGCTTGCTGTAACCTGTCTCAGGGTCAGGTGGTGGTCTCTTTTCACTGTGGCTCTACCCCAGAGTGTTGTGCCTGTACTCTCCTTTACCCAGCCTGGCTCACAGCTGTGGGTGTGCATTCTGCCTAATGTGATGTAGGGGCTGGGCAACAGTCCGCCACACCCCCACCCTGGACAGAGGCCACAAGACATTTGGGGATTTAGCAGCTGTTCAGCAAACAAGCATTTGTTGACCAACACTTGGTGGTCAGCACCATGCTAGGACCCCAAGGGACTGCGGTCTGGTGAGAGCTTTGGAATGGTTTTGCTGCAGTTGAGTTTCCTGCTGTTTAACATGGCGGTTACACTTGAGGTGCATTACTGTGTTGCTTTTTGTCTCAGCTATGTTTGACCGAGAGAACAAGGCCGGCGTGAACTTCACCGAGTTCACGGGTGTGTGGAAGTACATCACTGACTGGCAGAACGTCTTCCGCACCTATGACAGAGACAACTCTGGGATGATCGACAAGAACGAGCTCAAGCAAGCACTCTCAGGTTTTGGTAATTCACTTGTCTCGGTGGTGTGGCGTGTTTAATTTTGGAGCCTTACTGATTTTTTAACCCATTACATGTAAAATTTTTGTTTGCATCTTACAGGTTCATATTTTGATGTTATTTGTCATGAAGGCTTGTATGTGACATGGAGACTTTGATGATGCAGTTTTTCACCCACAATGAGATAAGGGCGGTGCGAGTTGCTCGTCCCTTGTGAAATGGGATGGTTTCATGAGCAAAACTGAGAATGTGGCTTTTAACAGTTTAAAGTGGATAAGTGAAAATGAAACAGTGAGGGACAGCTTCCATTTCATGATACATTGAAATACATGAAAAAGATGATAAACAACCCTAAAAAACGACTCTGTAGTTGTCAGGTCTAACTCTCAGTCCGTCCGCATCGTGTGCCTCAGGTGGAGAGTCAGAGAGTGCGAGTATGTGCCCATTCTCAAGTGTGCTCAGCATGTGTGTGCTTAGCACGTGCACTGACACGGACACCCGTGCCAGGCTTGGACGTGTGATGGTGTGCAGTGTTCATAGTACCTTTCCAGAGTATATCCCAGGGCTTCCTGATGCTGCTTGGGTCTAACAGGAAGCTGGGCTTTTTATTTACAAGAGAAGAACCAAAATGTTTGGGACCAGTCTTAGACTTGCACTGCTTACACCAAGGTTCTGGTCTGTCTGGGACGGTCTCACTCAGTCCTCTGTTCATCTAGCCTGGATCACAAAACCCCTTCTGTGCTTTACTTACAGGCTGCTTATCAGTACCTTCTAGAAAAAATAAGGAAAATTAGATTATAGCCTAATATACTCTAAACATCTTGAGTCTTCCTGATCTAAGGTGCGTTATTTCTTGTGGCTGTTAACATGGCGTCTGTCCTTTCAGTTTTTCTTTCCAGCACATTCTTTATGGCTGTCTTCTCTTTCTTTCTTTACCTTCTTACCTTATAAACTCATCCTAGGGCCAGTTAGAGGCCCTGGGTCTCCACAGGAAGTTGTGTTCTGAGCTCACCAGCTGTGGGCTAGGATTTGGGCAAGCTGCCTCTGAACAGGAACTTGGAATGCTGCCGACCCGCTGAGCCCTTAGGTGGGAGGACTGGGGTGACCCTGGCTGGTTTCTCTTCCCTGGGGCAGGTACAAGGAGGGCTGCGGGAGGGTGCAGCCCTCCACAGAGAGCGGCCTAGGGCCTAGGAGCCCAGTGGCTGCCGAGACGAATCGGAGCCCTGAGAGTTCTTTCCAGACAAGTGTCCTCGATTGCCACAGGACATCATCATGTTCTGAACTTGTCAGGCCCTGGAACCCTTTTTGCTCAGCACCAATGGCCCTCAGTCCTTGGAACTCACAGTGAAAACATTGACATGGATGATGCTTCCCGGCCTCCCAGGCCCTCTGCGTCCTGGTCAGACCAGGAACCTGGTGGCAGCGCACTGGGCAGGTGGTGTTTCCTCGCAGGAGCCCAGGGTGGGACGAAACCCTTCCTGACTTCTGGAGCTTTTACTGGAGAAAGTAAATGTTCTGTTGCAGCGTTTCTGTGGTTCTCTTGGAGTTTCTCCCTGTGTGTAGTTCTTGGTTTCCCAGGGTCATCTCCCCTTATCTTCTGAGAGAGGAGCATTGCCATCCTTTTTGCATATTAATTATCTTGAAAGATTTTCGGTAGTAACTGTTAGGACATGGGCCTTAGAAGCAAAAATGCCTGTTGTGTTTTGACTTCTAAGAGTAGGTGTTCTGCTCAACAGGGAGGCCGTGCCTTCCCCTCAGCAGCTGGCGTGAGGGAGTCACTGGGGGACGTCAGAGCCTGCAAGATTTCACCTTGGGTGTTCCAGGCCATCCTGGTGACACAGTGTGGCTCGGATAGGGCCACATGGTAGGTTATATGATCCATCCATTATTTTGGGCGCGGGGGTTGGCAGCTAGCTGAGAAGGGGATCCGAACCCTTGACCCTTGACCTAGGTGTCACCAGCACCACCTGCTTCCACGTGAGCTTACCAGCCAGCCACATTTTTAAAACCTTTATTAACAGAGACCTGGAATGAGGAGAAGGGCAAAGACACAGTAGGCACAGCGTGGGAGATGCCTGGAGCTTGGGTCACACACACGCAGCTCAGAGGCGGCTCAGAGTCGGTCGGGCAGAGAACACCTCCACCTCCCTGAAACTGCCACACCCTCCACTTGGCCTCTGCAGCCCCTGCCAGTGTAGCTTTTTAAAGTGAGAAGTTCATGAACATGCAGTGGGCCTCCATTTACCCATCTCACCGTTTCAGCCGTTTTCCGTCTTTGTGCTGCATTTGCTGGCCCTTTTTTTTGTGGCTGAAGCATTTTAAATAGGTGCAAGGCTCACACCATGTCACCCCTGCGCCTTTTGGTCGGCGCCTGTGGAGCACGTGGATGTTTGCGTGTGAAATCAGTGCCGTTGACTCACCTTGCAGTGATGGCAGAGTGTCTTTTTTTTCTTCAGAAATATACTTTGTTTATTTTGGGCTTAACTGTACAAGGATTGAACCCCAGACCTGGGTGTTGTCAGCACCACACTCCAACTGACTGAGCTAAATGGCCAGCCCCTTTTTGTGACTGTTTTGCCTAAAGTGGGGTCCAAGCAAGGCCATGAACAGCCCCCACCCCTTTTTCATGCCATTGGCTGTTTGGAGACCTCAGGGTTGGTGCCCTGCCTGGTGTGCTCACCCGCATGTGACATTCAGCCTGTTCCCAGGCCGTGCTACTGCTGCGTGTTGTGCCACACATGGACACACAGGTAGGATGTGCTGGGTGTGGTGGAGGTTGGGGTGCACAGCCTGGAACTGACTGTCCCCAGTGGTCATGCAGCCTGACGTGGTGCTATCGGCAGGGTGATTATCTGGGGGTGGCACCTCCTGCGTGCTGGTTCACAGGCAGAGAGGGACTGCTCCGTCAGCAAGAGCTGTTTGGTTCCTGGAAGTGCAGACGTGGCAGAGGCTACTCCTGTCCTCACTTAATGATGCCACTGTCACAGGGTGGGGTGGGGTCTTGAGAAGATCGTGCTTGACAGACGCAGGGTTGAGAGCGTCCCAACTCCGCCTCACTCTGATCCTGCACAGCCCTGATCTGTCCCTTGGGCTCTGTTTCAAAGAGGAGCAGGCCAAGAGAGGGTCAAGACTACCCAGAGGGGACAGTGCAGCCCTGTGCGGTCTGGAGCTGTGATCCTGCTATTGCTCCAGGTCCTCCAGGGCCGGGAAGGGCCCCCAAAGTGGCCACGTCCTGTTTGGGGGCCTCAGCTTGTTTTTCCTTGGGGGTGGGCTAGATGGCTTACATAGAGGCTCTGCTTGGCTCACTAATGATATTTCCAGTCAGGGCTTTTGTCCAAAAGAGGGCAGTGACCATAGAAAGGTGCTCGCCAGGTACGTTGGATCTGATGGGCAGTCTCCACTGCTGTGGCTTGCTGGCCGGTCCCGACTGGAACCACGGGGCCGTGCACAGAGAGCGCCTCTTAGTTCTGATGGTGGCATTTCTCATGTGGATTTTCATTAAAGGAATTTCTTAGAGAACAGTTTACTGCAGGTTTTGGCCTCTCAGATAAACATCTTTTTATACTTAGCTTATTCATCATTCATTTTACTAGTCTTAATGTATTTTTGTTTTTCCTACAATAGTACTGATGACCAAGGAAATTCAAGGCAATCGGGAGCAATGGAGTTACTTCCGTTGTCTGTACAGACTGTGGAAATCCTCTGTCTTTGTTTCCCTCTCACCTGTCCTTGCCCAGTCTCGGCAGGAGACCAGTGATGGCTGTCGTCCCCCACTCATGCTCTGGATGGGCGGTGCCCCTGTGGCCGTGTCCCAAGCTCTGTCCTCAGCAGCTCAAGGGCTCAACCTAGGCTGCTGCCTAACCTGCCGTAGGTGCTGGGCACAGGTGTTGGGCGTGAGGAGCCTTCATGACCCTGCTTTCTTTTTCTGACTCAAATTGGGGGTCCTATCTTCAGCTCAGCTTGCAGGGAAGGGGGTGTCAGCAACTCTGCTGTCACATGTATAGGCCCTGAACTTAAGTTGCAGAATGCCATGACCACTCTGGAAGGTACTATGTACATGTTTGTGTGTTTGAATCTTTATCAGTCAAAGGATTGAGTGTTCATACAGGTTAATAACTGTGAAATTCACTTGGACAATAGGTTATATACTATTGCAAAGATTCCAAGACTGAAAACCAGTAAGAATATTTTGGCAACTGGATCTTGCCTCCTGAATCAGTGAGGATACCACGATCACAAGCAGTGGGGCTGCGAGGGAAGGGATGGAAGCAGGCGGGGTGTGTCCTTGCTCAGAGTGGCTGCCAGGGATGTCTGAGGCACGGCCGGAGACCTTTTCAAAACACGCCGTGAAATGGAAATGGATCCCTTACACTTGGTGGCCTGTTAGTGATTCTGACTTGGAAGACCAGCTTCCTCCTGTGCTCTTGCGTTCCCTAATGTCAGATGAACTGCTTTATGTGGGCAAGTGTCTGTCAGTAACCTCCTGTGTCCTTCACTGACATTTTGTTTAACTGCAGCCTCCTGTGATACTGTAGCTTTCAAAGCATTCTCTGGTAGTGAGTAACCTAGGACAGATTAATAACTGTGAGAGTCAACAAAGAGCGNCGATACTGTAGCATTCTCTGGTAGTGAGTAACCTAGGACAGATTAATAACTGTGAGAGTCAACAAAGAGCGTTTTAAAATGATCACTCCACTGGGTTCAGACGCTGAGCTTGGCTGCCTAGTGGGGTGATTTTTGTGGGTGCAGTGCTGGAGTAGTTAATTAGCATAAGTGAACACGCCCATGAAGATGACCTTTAGCCTCCAGGACAGCTGAAGCTCCCAGGTCACTCCTCAGCCTTCCAGGAGGTGGCACTGGTCTTGAAGTAGGTCACTTCATGTCCTGGAGATAAAAATTTATCATAGAATAAATTTATCTAGGGAGCATTTCTTAGTTCTCAGTGTGCATTTGAATGAATTTGCATTTTTATTCCCACCGTCATATGGTGTCATGAGGCTGTGGGGTCTTGGGAGGGAGAACTTGAGCGTTGACACAGACCTTCCCCCTCTCCCGGCCACCCTCTACTAACTCCAGTTTTTCTTCTTCAAGGCTACCGGCTCTCTGATCAGTTCCATGACATCCTCATTCGCAAGTTTGACAGACAAGGACGGGGGCAGATTGCGTTTGACGACTTCATCCAGGGCTGCATCGTTCTGCAGGTGACCAAATGTCCTTGTGTGGGTTCACTGTGGGCCACGGAGGCCAAGGTGGGGCAGGAGGGGGGCAGCCATCACGTCCATGTGCCTGACCTTCAATCTAAAGAATCAGGCATCTGTCGAAGTAGTTTGAGGGCTTATAAAAGTTAGTCTTTGGAGAATTAACCAGTTCTGGTAACAGAAGTGTAGCAGTGCTGTTTTTTCTTGCCTCAGAAATACAGAGCAGTCTGTCTGGAATAGATTAGATTGTTCTTTTCAGTCTCTAGTGGGTTGTTTACCCATATAGTGTGGTGTATTGTATTTTTACAAAAAACTTTTACTCTGAGAAAATGGCAAGTTTTCTGTTGTGATTGTCACTGTGTCTTGCCTTCAGGTATGAGGTTAGCTATGGAGCCCAGGCACACAGGACCTCCCTTGCTGAGGCCTGAGAGCCATTCCTGTGCATTCCAGTGTCTGGCAGAGCTCGTAATTCATGCTAGCCCTGCAGCAGGCTGTGCCCAGAGTGTCTTGGTTCCCTACAGTGGTTCTGTGATGTCCATCCTGCTTACAGAGAGCTTAAGGGACACACTTAAGATGGGAGCAGGACTGAGGGGTCCTGCCCAGTGGTTCCCTGCAGGCCCCTGCTGCTGTTTCTAGGTGGAGATCCAGGCTCCATAGATTTAAGCTTCAGAAATGCAGTGGGTTGATAAGCCTTTATGTATCTTTCAAAATTTTTATTATGACAAATTTCAAACAAAAACAATAGAGACAACAAAATGAACTGGGAATTATTAACTCATGGCCAGTTACCTGTAATCCCTCCGTATACCTCCATGCCCCCTACCCCCATTATTCTGCAGCAAACTCAATTTTATGGAAAGCACATGTTTTTTCCATAAATACTTCAGTAGAAACTGACTCTGAAAAGTAAGTCCTTAGAATTTGAATCCAAGTTGAGGGCACATCTTGTCAGCTTTGGCAGTTGTTGAGAGATGTGAATAGCAAGAGGTTTTTATGTGTAATGTGGAATTTTGCAAAACATTCTTAGGCTTTTTTTTTCAGTTAAGGAGATAGATCAATCATTAAAAGTGTATTTTTACTGGGCCGACCCCGTGGCTCACTTGGGAGAGTGAGGCGCTGGGAGCGCAGTGGCGTTCCCGCCACGGGTTCGGATCCTATATAGGGATGGCCGGTGCGCTCACTGGCTGAGCGCGGTGCGGACGGCACCAAGCCAAGGGCTGCGATCCCCTTACCGGTCCCAAAAAAAAAAAAAAAGTGTATTTTTACTGGGCCGACCCCGTGGCTCACTTGGGAGAGTGAGGCGCTGGGAGCGCAGTGGCGTTCCCGCCACGGGTTCGGATCCTATATAGGGATGGCCGGTGCGCTCACTGGCTGAGCGCGGTGCGGACGGCACCAAGCCAAGGGCTGCGATCCCCTTACCGGTCCCAAAAAAAAAAAAAAAGTGTATTTTTACTGGGCCGACCCCGTGGCTCACTTGGGAGAGTGAGGCGCTGGGAGCGCAGTGGCGTTCCCGCCACGGGTTCGGATCCTATATAGGGATGGCCGGTGCGCTCACTGGCTGAGCGCGGTGCGGACGGCACCAAGCCAAGGGCTGCGATCCCCTTACCGGTCCCAAAAAAAAAAAAAAAGTGTATTTTTACTGGGCCGACCCCGTGGCTCACTTGGGAGAGTGAGGCGCTGGGAGCGCAGTGGCGTTCCCGCCACGGGTTCGGATCCTATATAGGGATGGCCGGTGCGCTCACTGGCTGAGCGCGGTGCGGACGGCACCAAGCCAAGGGCTGCGATCCCCTTACCGGTCCCAAAAAAAAAAAAAAAAAAAAAGTGTATTTTTACTGACTTGGTCTGCTAAGTGCAACACTTCATGATTCCTTTAAGAACGAAACTGGAAACATCATTTCCTGTTCCAAGGTGATTTGTTGGAGAACAAGATTTATTAACATTGAAGCCTCAAACCTCTAAAATGGAGGGAGCCTCACCCCAGGAAAAACCGGTTCCTGGTCCTCCCCCACTCTTGCAGAATGACCCTAAACGCCAGACAGAGGTGGAGGGTCTGAAGGAAAAGCTGCAGGCCACAAGTAAAAATTTCCTCAAAAATGTCTTCTTTCATCCCCTTTTCTCCATAAAGAAAAAGGCTTTTTGAAAATTATTTTTATAGAACACCATAAAAATCTTGGAAAAATACAAATAAAGTATAAAGAGAGAAAAATTATTGTTCTTTAAGCCAGAGTTAACTACAGAGTTAACTTCAGCTGCTGTGCTGTTTTTTGTTTTCGTATCTTGTTTTGCGCTAGCGCATTTCAGAGCATTTGAATGGTGGGGAGGGGCTGCATGATCCCTGCTGGGTCCCTGCTGGGTCTAGGAGTCTGGGGCAAACTGGCGGCTCTGCAGGTCTCCATGTGTGTGGGCTGTTGTTCTGGAATCGAATTGTGCCTGCCTTTCCTTGTCATTAAAAGTCTTCAAAGCATTTTATGGTTGCCCTGACTCCATCATCTCCAAGTGGCACCTACTTAACCATCCCTGTTGTAGAGGTGTGGGTGGTCTCCCCTTTCTGCTTCTAACCTGGCCTGGATCCTCAGGCTGATAGAGGGGAAGGTAGACCGAGCAGGAGGGGGCCCCCCCAGCCCGTAGACCCGGCCCGGCCTGTGGATGTTTACACACCACTCTGTGCTGCCTCTGTGGCTCCAGCAGGTTCCAGGGGAGAAGACTGAGTGGGGGCAGGTTTCCTGTGTCCTGAGCTCCTGTGGCCCAGAGTCTCACCACAGCAGAGGTGAGCCATTAGGACAGGAGCCTTCCACGAGGACAGTTCTGGAGTGGGAAGGAGGGCTGAGGTCTGTAGCTGAGCTGGGCCTGCAGCCCATCTTCTCTCCCCACCCTCCACGTCCCACATCCACAGGCTCCAGTGTCTTCGTGGGGGACAGCCCTGACTTATGGGGGTGGCCAGGGATGTCCCACTGCACCTCCCTGTGCTGGAGTCCCATGAGGAGATGAGGAAATTCACATGCTTCTGGAATTGGTTTCCTAAATATCTCTTTACCTAATACGTTTTGTTCCTCTGTTTAGTAAATGTCAAGAGCTAAATGCCTGTTTTTTCCCAGAGGTTGACGGATATATTCAGACGCTATGATACGGATCAGGACGGCTGGATTCAGGTGTCTTATGAACAGTATCTTTCCATGGTCTTCAGTATCGTATGACTCTGGCCTTTTGTGAGTGGCAACACACAGAAAAAAGACAGAAAATGCCAAATCTTTCACTTTGATGAAACAGAATGTGGATGCAGTTAACAGTGCTGTTCTTCTTTGATTTTATGTAATTACTGTTCGGGGACCTGGCTGTACATATGTGGATATGCTGATCAATGTTTTTGCAATTGTAACAGTAGCTATATCGTGATAACACCAACATTGGATTTGGTGACTGTTTAATTGTGCCATGAGGTAAAATGTAATTATGTTTCTGGTGTTATGCTTGCAGAAAATGCATCATGTGCTTTTCTAGATATCTCCAATTCTATATAGTGGAAATGCTTTTCTTATCCAACAGGAATTTTAAAATAATACGGCACTTGCACAGAAGGCTTTCTATGTGCCTTACTTTTTTAAAAGGAGTTTATTGTATTCGTTGGAATATGCAACAGGAGCAATAAAGGAAATGGTACCGACTCGTCTCCTTTCAGCTTTTCAAATCCAATGTGCTGGAGAAATGTGCCCCGCTCCCCGCTGCCCTAGGTGACTTTCAGTCATCTCAGGTGCACTCACCTGGGAGCTCCGCCTTCTGGAATGTTCTCCTGCAGCCTGGTCCGCATAGCTTTTGCTTATGAAAATGCAGAAGCGCATCCCATCCTCTGTTATAGTAGTTAAATCTCATCATCCCCCTGGGAGAGGGAGTCTGCTGTTCAGGGAAGCCTGCAGGCCCTGTACACCAGCACCAGACACACTGGACACGCCGGCCAGAGGACGGGTGCTGCGGCCCCTCATCCTGCAGGTGCTGCCCATCTGTCTGCTGGCCCCTCTCTGTGGCTCCGTTCAGCTCGCCCACGTGGTCAGAACAGTTTCTACTTAGTGTTCCTAGCTTTATTCTCCTGAGCTCTCTGCTCTGCGCTCTTCCCTTCCCAGGCGAGTGTTCTGGTTCCGAGGTTGCAGCATCTTGTCTCAGGGTGCCTTTCTAGTGCTGGTCCCTCCAGGCTGTTCCCCACATTCCTGTCTCTGCTATCTATGGTCTCTCCTGGGGAGGTCGGGCCTATTGAGACCCCTGCTCTGTGTGGGGGAGTCTGCCATGGAGTGATGGGGTTGGAAGAGGGCCATTTTTCTGGGGAAAGCCCCCAGTCTGTGTGCAAGGGCATAGGTGTGCTGGTGGGGTCTGGCTGCACTTGCATCCTGGACTGAACCCCTGTGCCCTCTTGATGTGGATCCTCCAGAAAATGGACTCCAGGTTCCCTGGGGGCAGAAGGAGGGAGATGGGACTGGGGGTTCCAGCCACTCGCTCGTGGGGTCTGGCTGCACTTGCATCCTGGACTGAACCCCTGTGCCCTCTTGATGTGGATCCTCCAGAAAATGGACTCCAGGTTCCCTGGGGGCAGAAGGAGGGAGATGGGACTGGGGGTTCCAGCCACTCGCTCATGATGTCAGCCAGTGCCGACCCCTCCTCGGGAGCTGGGCCCACTATGTGCTTTCCTCCATGGTGTCCATGTCCCGTCTGCCAGGGCCTGGGCAACCTTACGCACCATCACGTGCTCTGTCCGCTGGTCCCCGCTGGCCTGTGTCCATCGTGGCCCCTCCCTCATCACTGTGTGCTGTTACGACCCCACACGCGCACCCCCACCAGAACCAGCTGAAACCAGATTGTGTGTGAAACAGGTGGGTGGTGTATTCAGATTTGTAGGGGGTGGGGGACGTGAGGACATTTGGGTTCTGGTGCGTGTCAGTGATCAGAAATTTGAGTGTACGTGGGGTCATCTGAGGCTGTGCTGGCAGGATGGGCCTGGGGCTGTGGGCTCTTATCTCTGGAGTCCGTGGCCAGAGAGCTCAGGATGTCACTGGTGGAGGGCTGTGGGGTCCTCATCGAGGGGCCGAGGTGGTGGAGTTGGGTCCCAGATGTCACTAGCCAAGGGGTATGTGGAGCTTGGACTGTGTTATGACCTCGCTCATAAGGGTACCCAGGAGTTGCTGAGGATTTCCACTCTTATCTGTGCTGGGTGCCTTCTGGATAGCGACACACTCGCAGCTCAACCAGCAGATGACCCCATGTTCCTACTCCAGCAAGGTCAGCTTCCTCGCCTCAGACTCATGCTTCAACTCCTGAGTGTATCTGCACCTCGTACCTGAGAGTATGTCTAGGACACGCTTGAGAGTATCTACACCACACATCAGTGTGTCTGTACCACACACCAGAGTGTGCCTATACCTCACACCTGAGCGTATCTGCACCTTATACCTGAGAGTATGTCTAGGACACGCTTGAGAGAATCTATACCACACACCAGAGTGTGTCTGTACCTCACAGCAGAGTGTATCTGCACCTCAAACCTGATTGTATCTGTACCTCACAGAGTGTGTCTATACCTCACACCTGAGC